GGCTGTCCCACGTGTCGCTGTGACGTGCCCCAGGGCTGTCCCACGTGTCACTGTGACGTGCCCCAGGGCTGTCCCACGTGTCACTGTGACGTGTCTCCAGGCTGTCCCACGTGTCGCTGTGACATGTCACAGGGCTGTCCCATGTGTCACTGTGACGTGTCCTGGGGCTGTCCCACGTGTCACTGTGACGTGTCACTGTGACGTGTCCCAGGGCTGTCCCACATGTCAATGTGACGTGTCCCCAGGCTGTCTCACGTGTCGCTGTGACGTGTCACAGGGCTGTCCCACGTGTCACTGTGACGTGTCACTGTGACGTGTCCCGGGGCTATCCCACATGTCACTGTGACGTGTCCCCAGGCTGTCTCACATGTCGCTGTGACGTGTCCCGGGGCTGTCCCACATGTCACTGTGACGTGTCCCGGGGCTGTCCCTTGTGTCGCTGTGACGTGTCACAGGGCTGTCCCTTGTGTCGCTGTGACGTGTCCCAGGGCTGTCCCACGTGTCACTGTGAAGTGCCCGGGGCTGTCCCTTGTGTCACGTTTTGCTTGCCGTCTTGCTGCAACAAGAAGCAATGCTGCAGCCACCGCCTCTGCCACAGCAGCAGCACAAAACTTCCCCCGTGCCTGTCCCGCAAGCAGGTTCTCCCTTGGAACCTGTCACCCACTTCCGTTCTTACACATGGCATTAAGAGGTCACCTCTGCAGGTGGAGATGCCCTTTGTTGAAGACCATCCTCTTCCCCATGGCGCTCAGCCCCTCGTCCACATGAAACACCCCGCACCTCCACAAGCGTTTACTGCCAGGGTCCGGGTCTCATCCAGTCAGTCTGTATGTCAGCCACCACTGCTTTGCTGCACTCCTGCAGAAAGCTTTGAGATGAGAAATTGAGGGGTTCTTTTTTAAATATGATTTAGGCCACTCAGGATCCCGGTTTCCACACAGCTCAGGATGGGTGTTCCGAGGGGCTCCGTGGGGACGGGGCTTCGCCTGTGGCATGCTTGGGTAGCCCTCAGGTCTCCACAATGGTGTCCCCAATCCAAGAGGACCTGACACTGGACCATCTACTATCATTATTCACTGGCTTCCTCTGTCCTCAGAGGGAAGGATCTCCCCTCCTTTTCCTAAGGAGTTTTGTTTATGGTTCACAAATGTTCCTGTTACTTGTGCTGTTTCCTTCAAGACCCTGAGAAGCACCCAGCAAGCTGTGTGTTTCAATCATCGTAATTTAGAAGTTCCTACTGATGCTGATGCCAGTCTGCTGGCTTACAAGTTTTGTCCCGTTCATGTTTCTATTCCTTCCTCCCGTCTCAGTTGGTACTGAAGGTACTGAATTCAGAGCCTCACACTCACTTCCCTTCTTTCCTGATTGAGGCTGGTGCTCTACCATTGGGTTATGGTTATTTTGGAAAGGGAGTTGTAGATTTTCTGTTCAAGCTGGCCTCAAAGTGTGACCCTCTGGATCTCAGCCTGCTGGGAAGTTAGGAGGAACATGGCGGTTGACACCCAGTAAGCTGGTGGCTCATGCCTCTGATCTTAGCTGAGATCTGAGGAGCAAGGTCTGAAGATAGCCCGGGCAGGAAAGTCCATGAGACTCTTCTTCAATCAACCACCCAAAAAAGCCAAGTGGTAAAGCACTAGCCTCAAGCAAAAAAAAAAAAAACCCTCAGGGACAGCACCCAGAGTTTAAGCCTTAGAACCAGCACAGGAATATAAATAAGGGAAGGAGGGAGGAAGAAACGGAAGGAAAAGAGGGAGGAAGGGAAGGACAAAAGGAAGGAGGGAGAAAGAGAAAGAAAAGGAAAGAGAAGAGGAAAACAAAAACAAAAAGAAAGGGCCTTCTGGACGTTGTCTCTTCAGGAGAAAATCTGCTGGAAAATAATTCATCTTGAGGTTGCTTCAAATGTGATCCAGTTTGGCGCAAATCATCAGGTCACGAAAAACCCTGGAAGGACATGGAGCATTCCAGTCTAGGTGAAGTTCAAAGTACATTTATTTAAAATGTGGGTAAGAGGTCAATATAAAAGAAAAGAGTATAAGAAATAAAAATACTCAAAGTATAAAACATCTTATGTCTTTAACATCCATAATTTAGATAGCAAGATCTTTATTTACACCACTTTATTTGTAGCTGAAGCTCACATGATTCTGTGAAAACATTTAAAAGCCTGGCAAATGAGTAAGACCTAATGTGGGCTCATAAAACTCCTATCGTACACAACATAATTTGTGTCTCTTCAGAATAGGCGCACACCTCAACAGGATGCAGTGTAAGTGTACAGTTGTTCCCCTGCTTGCGCCGCGTCTCGTCCTGGGAGCAGCGGGAAAACAAGCGCGGGAGGAGTCCGGGCCGGCCGCGGGGCAGGCCGCGCTCCACCGCCTGGGCCCCAGCAGGCACGCAGCCATCAGCTGAATTTATATGTGAGCTTGTTGAGGAGAATAGCGTTCAATCTCAAGGCACAGAGGAACCTGGGAAGCCAGCCTGTCTTAGGCACCACTCTGGAAAGCTGCATTTCCTCCTCCACCCACATGCGCCAGCTGCTCCTGCCCGAGGTGCTCATGGGGCCCTGGGTTGGCGTGAGCACTGAGGCTCACTGAGCCTGCCCAGGGGAACCCAGCCCCTGGCCAGACAGCCGGTAACAGCAGGAGTCTCACTGCTAACATGCCCAGGCGCTTCCCAGACTCGGGGTTCACACCCGCAGGACCCAGCACAGGACTGAACTCTCCCCACAGCTTGGGAAGCACTGGCTACCTCAAGCATGTCTGCATGGAGTCACGTGCACCAGGATGGTGCTAGGATCTAAGCATGAGAAAAAGCCCCTCACTCACACCCACAGATCATGCATGGAGATGCTTCTTTTTTTTTTTTGTCGGTTATGGTGCCTGAACTCTGGGCCTGGTCCCTGGTCCCTCATCTCTTCAGTTTAAGACTAGCGCTCTACCACTTGAGCCACAGCGCCACTTCCAGCTTTTCCTGTTTATGTGGTGCTGAGGAATTAAACCCAGGGCCTCATGCATGCAAGGCAAGCATTCTACCACTGAGCCACCTTCCTAGCCCCTACATGGAGCTTCTTAAAAGTGAGTGTAGGCCAGGCACACATCTGTAATCCTAATTATTCAGAACGCTGAGATCTGAAGACTGCAATTCAAAGCCAGCTTGGGCAGGAATGTCTATGAGACTCTTTATCTCCAATTAACTACCAAAAAACTGGAAGAAGAACTGTGACTCAAGTGGTAGAGTACCAGTCTTAAGCAGAAAAAGCCAAGGGACATTGCATAAGCCCTGACTTCATGCCCAAGTATGGGTACAAGTAAAGCAGGAGTGGCTCACGCCTGTAATCCTAGCTACTCAGGAGGCTGAGATCTGAGGATCGCGGTTCAAAGCCAGCCCAGCAGGAAAGACCGTGAGACTTTCATCTACAATTAACCACTAGGAAACCCGAAGTGGCACTGTGGCTCAAGTGGTAGAGTGCTCGCCTTGAGCTGAAGAGCTCAGAGACAGCGCCCAGGCCCAGAGTTTGAGCCCTATGATGGACAAAAGAAAATTAATCTGAAACACAAGAGGCTTTCATAAATAAAAATCTGTATAAGTCACAGAATATTCTGTGTAAAAACCAAACACAGCACATCTGTAGAGCTGAAGTGCTGCCCAAGGCCAGCAGGAAGTCCCGTGGGAGATCTAATGTGGCCACACAGGCCCCCTGACTGGGGCTCCTTCCTCCCTGTGTACCTGACGAGCTCTCCGGCCTTGCCGCAGTGCCCCTCACGCTTCCAGGCCATCGCCGTCAAGAGGGGAGAAGGTGAGGCAGCCAGGTGCGTGCCCCATCCTCACCTCTCTGCCTCCCACGCGCCTATGCAGACACAAACCTACTGGTCCTCGCCGGAGTGCTACAGCAGTCAGGCGGCAGATCTCACCTGATCCTAGCTCTGCCACAGGCACACCCCATAACCACTCCAGAGGGGTCTCTAGTGGGAAGCTGGGGGCAGGATTTGTGGGGCCACTCTGCTTCACTCTGGGGCCGCCCACACATGAGAACAACTACTGTAAGCCAGGCTCTGGTGGCTCACGCCTGTAATCCTAGCTACTGAGGAGCCTGAGATCTGAGGATTGAGGTTTAGAGCCAGCCCAGGCAGGAAAGTCCAAGACTCTTCTCTCCAATTAACTAGCAAAATGCAAAAGTGAAGATGTGGCACTAGTGATAGAGCCTTGGGCAAAAAAGGTCAAATAAGAGCATGAAGCCCTGTGTTCAAGCCCTAGGACTGGTTAGCAAAGGAGTGAATTAATTAGAATGTTCCCGTTTCCTGTGAGTGCCTGCTGCTGTACTATCTACCCACCACGACTGTGTCTTAGCTCCAGCTCAAAGCTCAGAGCACACTACACAGAATCTAAATCTCACTTAGAAAATACAAACTTGAGAACAAGTTGGTGAAAAGAAGCACCTACGTCAGGTACTTACTTCTGCAATCTGCGTGGTCACTCGAACACCCTCAACAAAACGGTGCCGAGGCCCATGGGGTCGCCTCGTGACCTAGTGTGGCCTCACTACCCTGAGGAGCCAGGCTCAAGCCGCAGGGACACACACCAAGAGCAGGAAAGGGGCTGGCAACCCCGGCCGGCGCTGGCTCATGTCAGCCTCCACAGCCACCCCTCAAAAGGATATGATTCATAGTCCAGCGTCTGTGTGAGCACTCCAGTCAGAACAAACTCAGCATTGTGAACATCTGAATGGGGAAAGCCAAATGCAACAATGAGCACGCGCACTGTGTGTACACACGTGTATGTGTGGTGTGTGCATGCAAACGCAACAAATGTGGGTGTATATACAGTGAGTGTGTACATATATAGTGAGTGTACACATAGGTACGTGGTAATGCACTGGTATGGGTGGTCTGTGCACGTATACACAGTGAATGTATAGATGCACATTGTGAATGTGTGCACATTCAGTCCATGCATGTGTGCATACAGTATGTGAATATATGGTGATTGCATGTGTGCAGAGTGAATGTATATACACAATGAATGTGCGTGCATACAGTGAATATGTGTGTGCATATACAGCGAATGTGCATGCATATAAAGTGAATGTGTGTGTATTCCTGTATAGTGAGTATGTGTGGTGAATGTACATATGCATGCATGGTGAATGTGTTTGTGCGTACATGGTAGGAGTGCATATATGCTGAGTGTATGTGTGCACACAAAGTAAGTGCACCTGTTACAGTAGGTGCGTAGGTGTGAATGCAGGCAAGCATGCACCAGGAATGGGAAGCCATACCTATTCCCCTGGCAAAATACTCTCGGCACAAATGCAGGTCATTCTCGCAGGATATTAAAATGATTTCCGACAGGCTCTGAGAAGAAGACAGCGCGTTTTAGTGACCAGCACTGGCATCAGCATGAGCCCAGGTCTCTACCGCCCCTTTCCTACCTTGTTCTGCTTATGCTCCATGAGCTTCCGGAAAGATGGCTGCTTGGACAGAACTTTTCCCCCAGCACACTCCACAATGGCTTTCATTGTCGAAAGGCTGGGGCAGATGCCAGGCGTGATGTAAAAATACTTCGCCTGAAATACAGGAACACAGATGCACCCTATGTCTTGTCAAGTGGCTTCAACATTTAGCGTAACTTTCATAGCTCTTACCCTGAGACTTTAACCAGAAATGTCTAAGCCAGGCACTGGTGACTCATACCTGTAATCCTAGCTATTCAGGAAGCTGAAATTTGAGGTTTAAAGTTAGGCTGAGCAGCAAAGTTCATAAGACTTCCAACAAAAAGCTGGCATTAGGGCTGTGGCTCAAGTAGTAGAGCACCAGCCTTGAGCAAAAAAATCTCAGGGACAGCACCAAGGCCCTTAATTCTAGGACCAGCACACATACACAAAGTCTGGTTTCCTGACATCAGGAAGGCAGTCTTCCTCATTAGTAATTACTAGAGGGTTTGAGCCCTAGTTTCCTGAAATCAGAAAGGTAGTAGTACTTCCCACAGTAACCCCAGAGTAGGCTTAGAGAAACTAAAACCAGATGTGTACCCATGGGAAGACAAGTACTCAGAGCTCACATTCCTAAACAAAATGGAGTGCTTTGTGGCTAAAGCAAGCACATAACACCTTTCACAATTTCAGTAAAATCTGTAAATCAGCACTATATTTAACGTATTTCTCTGCCAAGCAACAAACTGACCCAGCACCAGTCCTGACCTCCATCCCTTTTCCTGTTTTTATCTTGTCTGTATTCTTTGAACTTGAAAAGAATAGAAAATGGTATCGATGCTTAAGATGTAAACCTCAGCCAGGCACTAATGGCTCATGCCGATTCACTTTTCAGGAGGCTGAGAGCGGAAGACCAGGGTTCAAGGCCAGCTTGAGAGCAGGGATGGAAGCATGGCTCAAGTGGTAGAGTACTCTCGTTTCAAACTGCCAAAAAAAGTTCTCTAATGAACTTGTTCCTACATATATTGTGCTTTAAATTGCTCATAAAGAGCTAAGCTCTTAGAAAAATCAGACCATTTTAAGTAAAATGCATCGTAACTCAGTATTACAAGTCACCTCTCATTACTAATCCAACATTTAAAAAGTTCAAAGAACAAATTACCCTTAATGATTTACTTAGCTGTGATACCAAAAAAAAAAAAAAAAAAAGGAAAAAACCCTTTAAGTCTCAAATCTAAGAAATATTTTTGAATCTTTAGTCCTGAATTATTTATGAAACGCTGAGTGAACATTTTCTCCGGTGGAGAGCGAGCAGAGTGCTCCAGTGCCCCCCCCCCCGTGATTACTCACGGACACGCACCTGGGCACCTGGCCGGTCTCTGCACCTACTTCCTCCCATTCAGTGAGGACCTGCTCTGCAGGGGTCTCGTCTCCTGCACTGTCCGGAGGCAGCTGGTGGTGCACGTGTGCTGTCCGATCACCCGCCCCTCCCTCAGGCCACCACACCACACCTCAAGAGTACCTTGAAAAGGGGAGACACGTGCGCTCGCTTCAAGGACTCTTCCAGGCTGAAAGAGAAGAGGACTTCCGCCTCGGCATCTCGGAGGACATAGTTCTGCTCATCTGGAAAACAGGAGGACGCAGATGCACACCACGGGCGCTCAGGCACACACGGCGCCAACGCGGCCCACCCTGCCCACTGACACAGATGCACACCACGGGCGCTCAGGCACACATGGCACCGGCACGGCCCACCCTGCCCACTGAGGGCAGATGCACACCACGGGTGCTCAGGCACACACGGAGCCGGCGTGGCCCACCCTGCCCACTGAGGGCAGATGCACACCACGGGCGCTCAGGCACACACGGCGCCAACGCGACCCACCCTGCCCACGGACACAGATGCACACCACGGGCGCTCAGGCACACACGGCGCCAACGCGGCCCACCCTGCCCACTGACACAGATGCACACCACGGGCGCTCAGGCACACACGGAGCCGGCGTGGCCCACCCTGCCCACTGACACAGATGCACACCACGGGCGCTCAGGCACACACGGAGCCGGCGTGGCCCACCCTGCCCACTGAGGGCAGATGCACAGCACGGGCGCTCAGGCACACATGGCACCGGCACGGCCCACCCTGCCCACTGACACAGATGCACACCACGGGCACTCAGGCACACACGGCACCAACGCGGCCCACCCTGCCCACGGACACAGATGCACACCATGGGCGCTCAGGCACACACGGCGTCAGCGCGGCCCACCCTGCCCACTGACACAGATGCACACCACGGGCGCTCAGGCACACAGGGCGTCAGCGCGGCCCACCCTGCCCACTGAGGGCAGATGCACACCACGGGCGCTCAGGCACACACGGAGCCGGCGTGGCCCACCCTGCCCACTGAGGCACTGCCATCAGGCCTGGCTACATGTACCTCTGCAAACTGCACACTGTCGCCCCGCTGCTTCCCCTCGAGACCAACCAGACCAAACGGTCCACAGCGGTGGTAGCTAGTCCTTCGCAGAGGCTTCCCTGAGAGCTAGGGGCTGGCCCACACTTGCAACTCCTCACACCCAACCATAGTGCCGCCACCCACAGACCCCACACAGGCCAGGAAATCCAGCCCTAGAACCACCACTTCTGAACGGCCATCAGGTGCAAGTGTGGTAGTTAAAAGCTGAATTTACCAAACTTTACTGAGTCGTGGAAACATTTCCTCTCCCCAGCACAAAGAGCACAGATGGCACAGCAGCCAACTTGCTTAATAACCTGCTGCCCTTCCGCTTGGCAAAGGTGTGAAAGGAGAGCCTCGAGGGCCCTGAGTTCTAGCCCCAAGATTGGCACACACACATACAAAAAAAAGGCAAAAAGTTGGGCTGGAGGCTTGGCTCAAGAGGTAGAACACTAGCCATGAAAGCAAACTGAGCAAGCACAAGGACCTGGTTCAAAACTGGAAAGAGCAAAGAACAACACAATGATTGGTTTTCCCTTGGTATCAATCAAATTACCAAAACTTATATTCTTTGTAAAGATGCTAATCAAATAAGTCATTGGGCTAGGAAATAAATTTTCAAACTTAAATTAGTAATTACCAAATAGTTAAAAAAAAAAAAGTGTATTGGCGCCTGTGACTGGACCTAGCTTCCAGGAGAATTTGAAAGCCTATTTGTATGAAAGTCCAGCTTCAAAGTCGTGCACCAGTGGCTCACATCTGTAATCCTAGCTACTCAGGAGGCTGAGATCTGAGGATCATGGTTCAAAGCCAGCCCAGGCAAGGAAGTCCATGAGACTCTTCTCTCCAATAAACCATTCAAAAGAAAAACCTGGAAGTGGCACTGTGGCTCAAGTGGTAGAGTGCTATAGCCTTGAGCTCAAGAGCTGAGGGACAGTGCCGTGGCCCAGAGTTCAAGCCCCACTACAGACAAAAAAAAGTCCAACTTCTACCACTGCCAACACTCCCCAGCACGGTCACTCCAGCACTGGGACCACACTGCCATCACTACCCAGCACGGTCACTACCAGCGCTGGGACCACCAAGCCGCCATACCCAGCACCCACCGATGAACTGCTGGGACCACCAAGCCGCCATACCCAGCACCCACTGATGAACTGCTGGGACCACCAAGCCGCCATACCCAGCACGGTCACTACCAGCGCTGGGACCACCAAGCTGCCATACCCAGCACCGACTGATGAACTGCTGGGACCACCAAGCTGCCATACCCAGCACCCACCGATGAACCGCTGGCACTTGAAGCACTCCTCCAGCCACTCGGGCGTCACGATGTGCTTCACCACGGAGATGGCCGTGAGGAACTTCACGGTGCGAGTCACCTTGCTGGCGATGAGGTGGGTACACTTCTGTGTGGACTCGGCCACCTCCCCACCCAGGATGTAGAGCTTCTGGAGAGAGAAGCACACATCAGTGAGCACAGACCCACGCTGTCCTCAGCCCTGCAAACCGTGACAGGAAAAGCAAAGGAAACCTGGAAAACCGACGAGGAAAGCAGAAAGAATAAGCCACACAGGGCATTTCTGCCTAGCACTAAACAAGTCAATGATCAATGTTTGGGTTCTGAAAACATCAGTAACTCATTTCTAGGAATAAAAAAAAATAAAATGAAGGGCTGGGAAGGTGGCTCAGTGGTAGAGCGCTTGCCTTGCATGCCTGAGGCCCTGGGTTCCATTCCTCAGCACCACATAAGAAAAAAGCCGGAAGTGGCGCTGTGGCTCAAGTGGTAGAGCGCTAGCCTTGAGCTGAAGAGCTGAGGGACAGCGCCCAGGCCCAGAGTTCAGGCCCCATGACCGGACCAAAAAATAAATAAATAAATAAAATAAAATAAAATGAAGAGTAAACAGCAGACCGTGTGGTGCTGTGGCTCTAGGCATATTCCAAAGCACAATGGTGCCGCTGTGGACTACGGGCACAAAAGCACAGCACCAAAGTGGACAGAGACAGAACCCAGAAAAGCGCTCTTCACAGCTGTACTCAGCCCTTGAAGGCAGAAAAAATTACACTGTACTAAATTTAGAGCAGAAAATGTATAAATCTAATTTCATTCAGCCTTAATTTAACAAAACTCCAGTAACAAAATACCCTATGCCTTGTGATGCTCTTTCAAAAAGCGTGCTTCCAATTCAGCTCCGGTTACACCAAACCTGACCTGACCACACGGGCTGCCGTGGGTGTGTGCACCAGGGTCCAGAAAGCACAGCCTGGGGAGACTCTGGGGCAGAGCGCCCGAGAGGCAAAGCCCCTTGTGAGCCCCAGGGTATTTATAAAAATGACAGTCAAGTTGCCTTGCAAATGTTCACATGCAGGAATCAGAACATTACACTAATGGTGCAAGCATCAAAGAATTAAATGGCACACTGAACGAGGCAGTCACTCACTGACACGATTACCACAAACACATGTGACAACACTGTCAAAAGTAGAAAAACTTAATGAAAGGTTCACCTAACAAATGGTTGGCATAAACATTTACAGAAAGGAACATGGCAAAAAATTCTTAAAGACAAACAAAATTTTACCTTAATATACTGTTGAACGTGTACAGGCTCAAAGCCAGTAAAAAGCACAAAAGGGGTCAATTCTGGTGTGAGTTTTTTAGTGGGAGGTGGCAGATCTTCAATCCTACAAACAAAGGCACACAAAATAGTACTGACTTTATTATGGAAAAATCATGTCACAACTCTAGATAATGGACTTACATGACCAAGAAATTAATTTCAAAACAATAACTAGGGGCTGGGAAGGTGGCTCAGTGGTAGAGTGCTTGCCTCGCATGCATGAGGCCCTGGATTCGATTCCTCAGCACCACATAAGCAGAAAAAGCCAGATGTGGTGCTGTAGCTTAAGTGGTAGGGTGCTAGCCTTTAGCTGAAGAGCTGAGGGACAGCGCCCAGGCCCAGAGTTCAACCCCCACGACTGACAAAAAAAAAAAAAAACCCAACAACTAAAGAAAGTAATATATTAAAGAATGATGAACTTATAGTTCCATGTCTAGAAGTTGAATGAATTCAAAGACGACACAAACGCATGACTAGCTCAAATAGAATTCAAATGGCTGAATGGAATAAAGAAGATAATGTATAATATTAAAAAAGGAATTGGATAAAGAAACAAATCTTGAAAAAAAATCAGACTGAAATCTTGGAAATAAATATCTCAACTGCCCAAATTAAAAACTCATTGAAATCTTAGCTAATAGAACAGAACAAGTAGAAAATAGGGCAATCGGATTGAAAATAAAGCAGAGGAATTAGATCAATCAGTAAAGAGAGTGAAAAAACACTAAGAAAATATTATAGAACCTTTCTGACACCACCAAAAGACAAAACATATGAATCATGGATTGAGAAGAAGAGATGCACACTAAAGGAATAAATATAACCTATTCAATAAAATAGCAGAAAACTTCCCCAACCTTGAGTAAGAGTCATCCAGGTGGAGGAGTTTACAGAACACCAAACAGGCAAGAGCAGAGAGGAACACCACTAGACATGTTAGAGTTAAAACATAACACAAACTGCAAAAGAGAAGAAACAAATCACATACAATGGTAGCCACAGAGTATCGGCAGATTTCTCCACACAAACTAAATCCAAGGAGGGCATAACATAATCCAAGCCCTGAAAGATAGTAACTGTCAACCTTCATAATCGAGGGAGAAATAAAACTTTCCAAGATAAAAGCTAAAGGAACTCATGAGCACAAAACCATTACTACACAAGATGCTGAAAGGAATGCTGCACATAGAGCAAGAGAAACAAAAACAGGCAAGAATAAATGCACGACATGGGTAACGTAGCATCATAAAGACAAATATGAGAGGAAACACTTCACACCATTCAACATCAACACAGGATGCTAATGGTCTCAACTCTCTAATAAAAGAAATAAAATGGTAAGTTGGATTTTAAATTTGTTTTCTATAAGAAGTACATTTCACCAACAAAAACAAACGTAAGTGTAGGGTTTAAGGATTGATTCAACACATGAATATCAATGCACATAACACTATGCATAAATAGAATCAAAGACAAATATTTCATAATCATCTCAACTGACACAGAAAAGGCTGTGGATCAAATTAAAGAGCCCATTGATAAAGGTCTAAAGAAACAAGAAACAGTAGAGCGCTCGCCTTGAGCTGAAGAGCTGAGGGACAGCGCCCAGGCCCAGAGTTCAGGCCCACGACCGGACCCCAAAAAAAAAAGAAAAAGAAAAAGAAATAAGAACCAGAAGGAACGCTCCTGAGGTGGATGGAACAGGAGATCAACAAACTGAGTGCAACATGCCAAACTCAAAGTCAAATCCTGCATGTTTTCATTCATTTTAGAATCTAAACTCTGAAAGCATACACAGATAAAACATGTACATACATGTTTACCTATTTATGTGCACATACACACATGCATTTATCTTTACACACACAGAGCTTGGTTATACCTGAGCCTGCCTGGGAAGGGGTTTAGCCAAGGAGAGGAACAGAGAAAGATGGAGGGCCAATCCTATCAAAATACATTGCATCTGTGCATGAAGAGTGTAAGGGACCTCATTAACAGGGGGGAGGGACAATAGAGGGCTACTGTGATCCGAACAGAACATACACATGTGCACATACCATGATGAAATATACACTAAAAAAAAAGAATGATAGGAAAGCAACACAGGCTGCTGGTGTGTGTGTGTGTGTGTGTGTGTGTGTGTGTGTGTGTGT